ATCTCAGTAACCACAAGGAATCAACTCAAACCCAGTACACCGTTAGATCCGTTGTTAAGAGCTGTACAAAACCTGGTATATGAATCATGGGTTCAAGATGCTTTTGAAATCCAACTGGGTCCTTTATGGAATCAGAAAAAAATACTATATATCTCCGAAAATTTCAGATGTTCCGCAAGGTCCAAGTAACGTTGAAGTCCGGGGTCAAACCGAGAACAGTGTCACCTTAAAATGGGATCGGCCGAAAAATGATGGTGGATCAAAAGTGACACAATATCAAGTTGAAATACGGAAACCTGGTAGTGACGCATGGGAGCCCGCAAGTGATTTTCCGTTGAAAGGAACAGAATTAACTGTGGAAAATCTTCAACCGAATAAAGCCTACGAATTTCGCGTGAAGGCCAAAAATGCTGCTGGATGGAGTCAACCGACGGTACTTGATCGGCCAGTAACATTAAAACCTGATTATGGTCAGTGACTAGGCGTTGAGAAACGAGTCGAAAGACTGTAACATGAAACTGCTTTTTAGTGCCACCCAGTTCACCGAGTACACCTGAAGTGAAAAAAGTTGGGAAAAACTTTGTTGAATTAGCATGGTCGCCGCCAACCAACGATGGAGGAAGTAAAGTAACAGGTAATGTTCTTCTAAATTAAATGATGTAGTCTATTAAGTGATTTCCAATGTACTCAATTTGTAGGATACATTGTTGAGAAGAAACCTGCAGGCAGCGATCAGTGGACAAAAGCTACACCATATACAGTATTAGATAATAATGTAACAGTTACTGATTTACCAGAAAATGGTGAATTTGAATTTCGCGTGAAAGCAGTAAATAGAGCCGGTGAAAGTGAACCGAGTGGAGTGACGAATCGTATAAAAATTTCCGAATTTCCAAGTATGAAACTATTTTTTCTCAACATACTATTAATAAAGTCATTTTCTGTTTTACCTTCAGATGGTCGGAAACCAACATTCACAAAGAAAATAGCGGATGTTAATGCAGCAATTAACAGTGAAGTATCATTTACAGCTGATTTTGAATCAAATCCAGCGCCTGAAGTGAAATGGTATCGAAACGGTATGGAACTTTCACCAAGTGGCCGCTACCGAATTAGTACAAAACCAAACGAGTTAACATCAACCCTAACATTTATGGAAGTATGGGAAACTGATAATAATTCAACAATTACTTGTGAACTAGTCAATCCGTTAGGAAAAGAATCATGCGACGCAATATTTCGCGTAAAAAGTGAGTCAGACGGTATAATGTACATCACAGATACCAATAAGGGTATTTTTCCTATTAGCTCCACCAAAATTGGATCGTGAACCAGGTGATCAAAAAGTGAATCTCGGTGAAACTCTAAAAGTTAAAATTCCTATTAACGGCAAAGGACCGTATACATTTAAAGTGAAAAAAGACGATCAAAGTTTACCTGATGACAAACGTGTTCGTGTTCAAGAATTTGACGATTATATTGTTGTAACAATACCAGGTATATTCATTGCACTTGGATGAAGACGTTTAGAATCTCATTTTTTTTGTTATATAGACGTTGAAAGAGAAGATGCCGGAAAATATGTTATTAATGTAGCAAACGATTCTGGTTCTGTCAACGTTCCAATGAAAGTGAAAGTAACAGGTAGGAAAAATTAATATATCCGAATGGTTTGCGCTGTCGCTGTACCATTGATGCTCGAAATATAAAAATGCAATAATCTTTTTTCTGTTAAATAGATTACTGTAAGCTCCATTGGATCAGAAACCTATCTCCCTACTATAAGTTCGATCTGTACCAAACTTTGAATTTTTGAATTTTTGAATTTTTTCTTTATTATTTTTTCCATTGGGATATAGGTAGAGTCCCCTTACTGCTTTGAGGGGCCTTAAATTTGTTTTGTTTGCCTAACTGTTGGCTAATACCAGAACGAAAGCATACTCTTTAACAGAGCCATATTTCTCATTTTATATTTTCCTTCGTAGTCAACTGGTGTCGTCGATTTTTAAATACTTTATTTTCCTTTTATGATTTATAGTTTATGTCCGAAACGTCGACCAAATAGCTCTTTTCGTTCTGAAAAAAATTAATTTTACTGCAAAAATGCCCAAATATTAGACTGGAATTTCTCTGTAGATTAAGTCTTAAAACTTGACTTATTATAAATCAGTCAATAGATCTCAACGAGAGAAATCTAGCCTAGTTAGTTCAAAATACCAACATGCAGAAATCGAGGAACTAAAAAATGCTTGTCAATATGAAATTTTAGTGTATGACGAAGAAATGGATCGAACTGTTGATCAGATCCATTGAGTTGAGTATCATTAGATAGAACACATCGAGATCTATCAACTGATATATGAGCATAATTTTTTTGATATCGTTTCAAGTGTCTATAACAAAAGAAACTCGATAAAAATGTTCACTTTTCGTAGCGAAAACTTGTTTCCGAGGAAAATGAAAGTCACAGTCGGGAAAAATTGTTTTTTTTTGTTAGCCCAAGACTATTTAACTTCAATAGTCAAAAGTTCATTGTAAGATGCTTTTTTTACTTTTTTCAAATGCACAATACAATAGTATCACAGTTCTTATATAAAAAAATTAATAAAAATTATTCTTATTAGCACCTGCAACACCACCACAAGGTCCATTAGAAATTTCAAATGTATCAAAAGATCACTGCACTTTATCATGGAAACCGCCAAAAGATGATGGAGGCGCTAAAGTTCAAGGATATATTGTTGAACGTCGCGACACATCAAGAGGAGCTGATCAATGGATTCCAGTTACTCAAGCTTGCAAAGTAGAACACGATACACTCATCAAATATCTGTTATATCAAAACTATTTTTTTTGTCTTTTAAAAAGGATCTTTCACTCACTGTACCAAATTTGTTGGAAAATCATGAATATGAGTTTCGAGTTATGGCTATAAATGAAAATGGGACGAGTGAACCATTACGTTCATCTGCACCAATTGTTGCCAAACTTCCGTTTAGTATGTTAATTTGTCATTCTTCAACTGCAAAAAATTAATCATTTTGTTTTACTTTCAGAGCCCCCTGGTGCACCTGGACAACCAGATGTGGCTGAAATGACAAATACCAACGTCACATTAACATGGGAAAAACCAACATCGGATGGTGGTATGTAATGAATTAATAAATACCTGTACTTAAAGTAAATTTGTAATTCTCTAATTTAGGTGGTCCCATAACCGGCTATTGGGTAGAAAAGAAAGAACAGGGTACTGATAAATGGACGCCTGTCAATTTAACTCCTACACAGAATACAAGATTAACTGTACCAAATCTAGTCGAAGATCATACATACGAATTTCGTGTGACAGCTGAGAATGAAGCTGGCAAAGGCAATCCGTCTGAAGCATCAAAAGCTTGCAAAGTAAGTTATGAATTTAAATTATATGTAAAAAAACACTATCTTTTATATCAAACAGGTTAAAGATCCAAATGCTGCTACTGCTCCAGAATTTCTTAAAAAATTACAAGATGTTGAAGCAAACGAAGGCAAAACTGTTCGTTTAGAAGTTGAAGTAATTGGTACACCTAAACCTGATATTGAATGGTACAAAGGAACAAAAGAAATATCTGATAGTATGAAATATAGTATGACTAGAGATGGTGATAAATGTGTGATAGTAATTAATAATGTTACACCAGATGATGTTGACGAGTATAGTGTAAAGGCCAGAAATAAAGGCGGTTCAAGAATGTGTCGTTGCAATGTTAGTGTCAGATGTAAGTATTCTACATTTAGGTGTATGACAAATATTTATGGAGATATTAAATGAATTTTTAGCTCCTCCTCGTCTTCGACTTCCTCCAAAATATCAAGATGTATTAAACTATGATAAAGGAGAAACTATTCAAATTAAAATACCGTACACTGGTAGTCCATTACCAAATGTAACACTTCTTCACGGCGATAAAGATGTGACAAAAGCCAATAATGTCACAGTTGATGTTGGTGATCGAGCAATTACATTGACAATTCGAAATCCCGATAAAAATACAAGTGGACCATACAAGCTAAAATTAGAGAATAATCTTGGCGAAGATGAAGCAACATTACGCCTTCATGTATCAGGTAATATGATGAATTAAATCATTTAACTCATTTCAATATATTTTTTCTTCTTAGATGTTCCACATGCTCCTCGAAATGCCCAAGTTGATTCCGTAACAGAGGATTCGGCTGTAATCTCGTGGCGTGCACCTGCTGATGATGGTGGTAGTTTTATAACAAATTATGTTATTGAGAAACTTGATCCTGATACGGGAAGATGGATTAAATGTGGTACAAGTCGTTTTACACATTTTACAGCTGAAAAGCTTCAACCAAATAAATCGCATCAATTTCGAATATTAGCAGAAAATATTTTTGGCACGGGAGAACCGTCAGAGCCAACAAAACCAGTTGAAACGTCAGGTAAAATATCATACACAAAAGACTGTTCATCTTAAGATGACTTATAATCGGATTTTGTTTAGACTCGGATGCAAACCGCAGAGGTCTGGGACGTAAAGATGATGATCTATCGAGACGAAAAAATAAGGATTTACCAAAATTAGATAATTATGATCGATGCTGTATGTTTTGAAATAATTGTGAGAGAAGTATCAAAATAACATCATCCTGTATTTTTAGTCTGGGATATTTGGGATAAAGGACGTAAACCACAACAAGCGTCATTGAAACGTGGAAGTGTATATGATTACTATGATATTTTAGAAGAGATTGGACGGTAAAAATAATTAGCAATAGTTTATTCTCAAATAAATTAGTAATTTTTGTATTGTTTAGTGGAGCATTTGGTGTTGTCCATCGTGCAATTGAAAAAGCAACGGGTAAAACATATGCCGCAAAATTTATTCCCACACTAACTCCAGCTGATAAATCAACCGTTCGACGTGAAATTGAAGTGATGGGTGATCTAAATCATCCAAAATTATTGCATTTACACGATGCATTTGAAGAAGAAGTTGAAATGGTTATGATCACGGAATTGTATGTTAATAACAAAGCAATGATAGTTGAAAAACATACATGATAATTTATATTTTATTTTCTCATGTATCTAGTGTTGCTGGTGGTGAATTATTTGATCGTATTGCCGATCCCAATTATAAAATGACAGAAAATGAAGCTAAAAAATATATGAGACAAATTTGTCGAGGATTAGAACATATGCATGAAAATAATATTGTACATCTCGATCTTAAGGTAATGAAAACTGGTCAATCTGATCATGAATAGATTACAGAAATTAAAAATTTCGTTATAATTTTAGCCCGAAAATATCATGTGTGAAACAAAAACAAGTACAAATATAAAGTATGATATGAAATAGGGTCTAAAATGTAAAATATTTTCAACGTATAAATCTATTTATTTAAGAATTTGTGATTTTGGTTTGGCTACAAAACTTGATCCAAATGAAGTTGTTAAAGTTAGTGCAGCAACTGTTGAATTTGCCGCACCCGAAATTGTTGATCATGATGCTGTTGGTTTTTATACGGATATGTGGGCTGCCGGTGTACTATCCTATGTTATGTAAGTGATTTTCATCATTTTTTTCAAAAAAAAACACTAATTATAACTTTTAAAGACTAGTTTTGAGATATTTAAAATAGTTCACAGTTTCCAACGTTTATTCTTTCTTTCTCAGAAATTTGAGGTTCTTCTTGATGCACAACATAAATATGATTTTAGTTTGAGTGGTCTCTCACCTTTTGGTGGCAATGATGATAATGAAACAATTGATAATATTCGAAAATGTGATGTACGATTTCCAAATGAAGCATTCGGTGATATATCTGATGAGGGAAAAGATTTTATTAAAAAATTATTGTTAAAAAATCGAAAGTAATTATATATTATATTTTTCTTTCTTTAATTTAATTGACATTTATAATTTGTGTTAAATTTTAGTGCTCGTATGACCGTACATGATGCACTTGATCATCCATGGTTGAGAGAAGATAAACCAGAACTTGACACAAGAATACCATCATCACGCTTCGACAAAGTTCGTCAACGTGTACGAGATCGATATGTAAGTGTTTATAAACTGAAAAAACATTCTTATATAATATAATGTGTTATTAAAATAAAAAGGCTGGTTGGCCCGATCCGGCCTGTGGTATTGGTCGTATGGCTGGATGGAGTTCATTGCGTAAAAATAAACCACAAGAATATAATATTTACAATTCATTCTGGGGTAAGTTTAAAAAAAACAGAATAATCCTGTGAATATTTTAATTTTATATAACTAATAGATCGACGAGAAGCTGCACCAAGATTTATTATACGACCACATAATGCTCATGTATTAGAAGGACAAAATGCTGAATTTGATTGCAGAATAATAGCTGTATCGCCACCAGTTGTCAGCTGGTATGGAAAAAAGCATGCTTTGTGTTTTACCTCTTTTAATATCCTCTCTATTGATTGTTAAGGTATCGCGATAATAATGAACTTCGTCAATCAACAAAACATTTGAAAAAATATGATAGAAATAATTATAAATTGGAGATTAAACGATGCTTACAAGAAGATAAAGGAGAATACGTTGTTAAAGCCACAAATAGTTACGGTGATAGAGAATACGCCGTCTTCTTGACCGTGGAACGTAAGTAATGTCGATTTGTATATGTTTTGTTAAACTCATTCAGTATCTCCAAGCAGAAGGAGTTGAATCGGCTATTTTTTAACCTCTTTCCCTTCTCCGAATGTATTCATCTTATATTGGTGGATGTATTCCTCTCAATAGGGTAGTGTAATCATCTTATTCAGGAGATATATTCATCTTAACAAAGTGGCGTATCCCTCTTGAAAGAGTAGTATATTCATCTTAGAAGACAGCTGCAATTTTCGTTGCTCCTCTATGTTAGTGTACACTATTCCTAATACCATCTTTTGGTAGAAGAGTTTCACCATTTTAGTCCCACAAGGGACTGCTCTGACAAGGTTTTCAGCTTAATATAAGTTAACCCTTTAAAGCCCAATGTCCATTCAAATGGACATTTTAGTTTATAACAAACTGAGAACGCATTGTTTAAAAAAAACTAATCTTATATCAGTTGTAGAAAATTAAATTGACTATCGAATGGTAAAAAACTTTTTATTGTTTATGTTTTATGCTAGCTGAGATATTTAAATTTTAAAATGAAGAATATTTTCGGAAACATTCAATTTTTTAGGTACTTTAGGAAAAGCTATTTTCTGAACAACTTTTCAAAAATATGTAGGGAGGTGTACTATTTCAAATTATGTCAGCTGAAGAAATTATTGTGTAAACTGTTAGGCTGTTGATGGTACGGAACGAAAGGTCATATTTTACTGGGATTTTGGGCTCGTTTTCTGATCATTCTTGATTTTCTTCACCATCTGAGCTCATTTTCTGTCTCAACTTCCTCAAATGTAATGGTCTAGACTTAGATATGTTTGGTCTGTGGTTTGTAACGAGAATTTTGGAAAGAATAATTTCCAAATTTTGATTTTAAATTTAAATTATAGAAAACGTAACTTTTTTTAAAAATGAAAAATGATTTGTTTCGAGCGTGAGAAAGTCATATCGAAGTCTCATATGTTCCATTTTCATACGTGGTTGACCCAAAATCAAGCATTAAAGCCTTGGGGACTTAGAAGGTTAATATTAAAATAGTTCTTATTCATATTTCGATAGGATAAACGATCTACCAAGTCAAAGTCTCAATGAAGGTTTTCGTCAGTCTAGTTCTAACAGAATTAGTTTTTTTTGTGTAGAATGCATAATAACGAATTGTTAAAAAAATGCTTATATAATAGTTAAACTTACACACGTTAGTCTAAGTGATTTATGTTCTGTTGTGTAGTGTAGAATAGAAAAAATAGGGCGACGATGATGAACATTTAATTATGTTTGTTATCTATTGTAGAATAAGTCTTTACCACCAATAATAAATTTTTCTCGGTTGGCTTCTGATCTAGTTTATTCTTATTTCAAATCATCATCATCATCACTACTCAGTTGGATAAATAAATTTATCTGTCTATCTCTCAATATATAATTTACATATACACTTGAAACCTTTTTACTATTCACATTCTTTTACGTTATTGATGATGGTGATGATTACCATCGTCTGTTGTATCGCTTTTTTTTTCCAGTTAATAATAACGTTTTCATTCATCCACCATCTCAATTTAGTTACATTTGATAGTGCAAGAGAGAAAAACTGCCTTGATATTGTTTTTTTTAATAACGACAACTATCAAGGAGAAGAAAAGTTAAAGTGACTCGATATCTTAATATCATAGTGTGTTATTTTACACAACTAAAAATCATTTAGTTATCATTATAAAGCGAACGCACGTACAGTAAATATTCTAAATGTCCACTCGTATAAGAAATAAATGATCTACTAACGATAATACATATTTAGATAAAAAAATAAATACATTCTATCCATCTGATGCATGGTATTGTAGATCAAACTTAATTAATTTTTTTAAATTCAACTGGTTAGTTTAAGATTGTCAACATAAGTGTAAAAAATCTATTTTTATCACTAAAGAATCACTTGAATGTTTGTATTTACTAATAATTATTATACTTTGACTCTTCAGAAGTGTCGAAAGATTTATCAATAGAAGAATATACTGATTTCTGTTGTATGTTGTAAGACAAAATGTCAACATAATATATCATATCTCTTATATTATCAAGTATATATAAACATATGCACTGTAGATATACAGATGTAGACAAAACTAGAATTCATGTTTTGTTCGGATAAAACTGAAATTATGTAGGCATTGCGTATGTAGAAATGTGGTTTCTTCCGGCCGAAATCAAAAGTCAACTTTTAAACGACAACCTAATACTTTAGTTTTTCTTTGTATTAGAGTAAAAATTAGAAAAAAAAACAACTTTATACAATGAAAAACTTTTTGAAAATCTTCTTAGTCAAATGCGTCTCAGATTTATTGAAACGAAAACTTGAATTTTCACTTGAATTCACTTTTGCCTACAATGTGTATCTGTCAATAAGATGACAAAACAAAACAAATAGATTTATAAAATGTAGTAATCTCATTTTTTCGCTTATCTCTGAAACATAATTATACTCTATAAATAGGTTATAATAAGACCCTTGACTTCAACGTTGATATTGCAGTTTTCTTTCTTTTTTTCTCTTTCTGTGCTATATATTAATGACGCTGTTGGTGTTATTCTGTTCATTATCCCTGTATCATTTGAATGAAGACGACTACTCGATTCTATATAGACACTACGTCCTTGATTGTGACGTATGATACATACGTTAATAAACACAATTTCTTAAATGGCAAAAATCTTGTTGTATTAGACAGTTAACAATATTCCACAGAACAAGAAAAATAAAAATCAAATCATCTTATTTTCATATGGGACGATCTCTACTGAAATTTCAGTCTGTTTCATGATTAAAACGTAGGATTTTTGGTAAAACAGAGTTTAAAAAAACGTTTCAATGCTGAATGCTAGTTTGATACTATATCTTTGAGAGGAGAATTTTTAATTAATAAAACCATTGATTTTAAATGGTATAGTAGCTATTGCATCCAATAAATAGACGTTTGCTATAGCATGTACTGTTTTCCAAACATCTATTTATTTTTATTATTGTTGCGCATTTTGAACGCAAGTCGTCCAAAAATGAGCAACAGTTAATTTACTAGCAATAAATTAATCAAATTGTAAGACAAAAGGATGTTCTTACTCTATAATCGCAAAAAAACATCTGAATGTATTTAGCTATTTTTTGCAATTGTAAAGTTGTTTTTTTTTGGAAAAATTCTAGTTTGTCGTTGATAATAAATTTTGACACAAGTGTTTTTGTGAGGGTGTTCTTATAGTAGTGTTAAGTTTAATTCAACATGACATCTTCTCCTATTCGTTGAAAATTTTTCTTTTGTATACTTGAATACAAATTTGATAGCGTCAAGTTTTGATCGCATCGATTAACAGGTTTTCTTTTTGTAAACAATACATAGACGATTCTGGTGTTTTTATCGTTGTTGTTCTTAATTCTAACATAAAAATAGTATAAAGTATCTATAAGGTAGACAAAAAAATTCTTTTTAGACATGGCATTTGAATAGATTGCAATCTATTTATCTTAACCATAGATCAGAATATAAGAATATGCTTCTGTTTATGTTATGTCCGACTTAACACAAAAAAATTCCTTGTTCATAAACCCACAACAACAAGTAATCGAATCTTTTGTTCCAGTTTGATATAATTAGACAATTATTAGGAATATGAATCCTTTTCCCTATTGACTCATGGATATACACTATAATATATGAATATTTTATTCTTTTTTTTTTTTAGACTATATTGAAGATAATTTAGTGTCGCGCGTATGGATATATCTATAGCATAGTCTCTTAGGACAAATAAAATAGTTGTACATGTACAATATCATCGTGTATTCTACATAGAGCAGAGAAAGAAGAACTCATTGTTCTCTTTGTTCGATCCCTATAACCTCAAAAATGGAAGGGAAAACAAGTTATAAATATGCTAGAACTTGCTGAAAAGCTCTTGTTGCACGAGCAAAAAAAGAAAAACTTATGTGTTATCAGTGCACAAAAAATAGAAGAGAGAGACAGAAGAGAATAATATTCTGTACAAAAAGTTTCTGTACAAATATATATCTTTTCACCACGTGAATTAATAATTCCTAAAATATTCTGTACTATATTCTTCATTATGAAAACTACCAATTTTTTTTTTCTTGCTTTATACGCCTTCTGTATAGTGTTTTTGTTTTTATTATTGCTGTTGTTGTTGTTGTTATGTCTTTCTCTCTCTGTCTCTCTATAATATTACATTACTTGATGAAAAGTTTTTTATTATATAGACATTTTTTTGCTTCACGCGTATTTTACCACTACTATAGATAACATAATTTAGAACATTATCTATGTGGTTTTTTTTCCTATGTAATAATAATTATAAAAGATATTAGTTTGGACTGAAGCACTGCCAATAATACAAATAGATTTTATTTTTGTTTTTTCGCAGAGCATTATAGTAATAGTTTATCGATTTTATACGTCCTTTTGATTTACCACATGCTACTATTTTTTAAGATAAAACTATTTTTTCTTGATTAATATTAATCATTGATTAGTTATTTATTGCAACAATAATGAGCTATTATTACGATTCATCTTGGTCCGGTTTTGCTCATGTTCTCTATGGTGGTTCATCGAAACGCTACCATTTTGAATCGCCTTATGCTTATCGTTGCTTATATAAACATCGTCTACTTTCTCGTGCACAATCGAGTGTACCATATTGTAAGTTTTATAACTTTAGCAATAATAATATTATTCAAACATCTGCCTTAAACTATTTTGAATGTAAATATTATTGTAATCAGAATATCACATTTAAATATAAATAGTTCTGTTAATAATAGCCTTCTATCGGTGATCGTTTTGATGTAATGATTTTATTTGCCTACTGACATATATTGTCTTCTGTAGACAGCTAGTGGAGCTAGAAATGCTTTAATTCAAAGATTACTCATGGAGTTGAAGATGTCGTACTGAGATCCTCAGTTTAAACATGGAGAAGGATAAAAGAGAAAGGAGGCTGTTCAGCGGAATTAAAAATTGACTACTTCCATAAGGCATTATTTGTATATCATATATAAACTCTGACAAGCAAGAAGTTCTCATCAGAATACATATTAGAAAACGTTTTTGCCTCTCGAGTCATAGAAATGAAATATACTGAATGTTTTTCATCTGAACATAAATATAAAACATAGTTAGTTTTATTTTAATCCAATTTTTTCTTTTTTAAACAAAATTAATGACAAATTTTATAATTGCCAAATAAAACTGCACCAACTAATGTGCTGTTCAGAAGAGAAGATATCTTTGAGTTATGAAAAATCATTTAACACCATTAAAAAGTCAAACAGAAAACTGATATATAACTTTAAAGAGGCGTTTTGGCATGGGCAGAGTCTTGTCTCTCTGAGTCTGGGCATGATAGAAAAATGATGTTTTGTAACGATGGCAGATTTTTAAAATAAGTTAAGTCTGATGAAAAACTGATAGTCTAAAAACAATGCGACTTCAGTCATGTGTCTATCGCGAAATAGTGTCTTTTGTGTGACTAGATTGCGTTTTTCATAGGACTTCAGTGTGTCTACGGGTAGACACATGGAAGTCGCACTATAGAAGCATCGAAGACGCGTGAACGAAAAAGACGCTTAATAGTCACATCTTCGTGAATGTCTTGAAAAATATCGGTGTACCTATTAGTACCGGTTGACGAATGTTTTCTTAAAGACATGGATCTGGATTCAATTTTCGTTGCAGATATAGAAGCGATTTCTGAGTCTATTTCCGATTTAACTCGATACACTAGCTAAAGATTGAGAACGCTTGAGGAAATGTACTGCGTGTGCTGATGCGTCTACACGAAGCTGTTGACTCTCTAGAAGAAGCGTACAGAAGTTATCAATGAGAAGCCTAGTGAAATTTTAGAGGAAGCAGTAAAGCAATTTCAATGTGAGACAAGCAAATTGTCAGAAAAAAGCAATTTTACTTTGCCCTAGCGACTTGCATGTGTTTCTACTTTAAATTTTTAACCAGTCTCACATGAAACGTCAACGTAAGAGCCTATCAAGACTGATAAATGATGTGCCTTGATGGTTCGATGGTGAACGTATTCCTTTGATAAGCGAACACATAAAAGCGACTCTCGACAGGAATGAAACATTCTTCTAATATGTCTTTTCTAGAAAACACATCAAAGCGACTGCAAAGGAGCCGCTTTAATGCGGCTAAATGGGAACCCACTTTGACATCTTCCTAGAAGTCGCATTTTTTTAGAGTGGTAATTGTTACCTTAATTAATCACCATTGTTATACAGATAAACCTTCCAAACAGATGATGATATTCTATTGATTTAATTGTTCATACAACGCTTTCAGTTTATGATAGTGTGATAGTTTTTCTGCTCTTCCAGAACCTCCCAGATGTGAGATTATTTTCGAGTCAGAAGATATATAGATCCCATAAAGAAATGTGTGCTTTTTCGCAGTTGGCAAGCCCAAAGAGAGAAAACGATAATAAAATATAAATAATGAAATTTGAAGTGTTAAATATGTCAGCTATGATAGATCATTGATTAAAGATTGTTTGAAGAGAATTTTTTGCGGTAACAATTCGTCTCAAAACACATATTATTCGACTAATTGGCTGGTTTCTTTTTTAGCTCTTCCAGAGGCTCCCAGACATGAGGCACGAGAGGTTAGCCATCAGCGACGTTTGCCTCAAGACATGGAATTTGACCTGTGGCGTGAACCAGACGCAAAACCAGTGTTCACATTTTTATTACGTCCACGCCTCATTCAAGAAGGCATTAATTGTAAACTACTTTGTTGTGTTAGTGGTAAACCAACACCAAAGGTGAACATGGATAAAAGTTAGAAGGTTGAAATATAAAAAATTTACAAAACTTTTTGTTATTTCCAGGTTCAGTGGTTTAAAGACCGAACCCAATTATCGGAAACTGATTCCCACTATATAACAGCCACTGTCCATGGTGTTTGTACATTAGAAATTTCCTCTTGTGAATTAGCTGATACTGGTATGTTCAGATGTTATGCCACTAATCCATTAGGATCAGATGAAACGTCGTGCTTCGTCCATATCGAAGGTTAGTAAAATAGGTTTTTATATTTCCAGTATGATGTTGTTAATTGATTAAATCTACTGATTATATATTAAAAAGTCTATGTTGATTAATTCACTGAAGGTGACGTTTTGTAGCTATAACTTGTTATTTCCAATAAAGAATTTGCATAGCACTGTAGTAGATATGTCGCTTCATCTTGTAAAGTTCTCTTTTAGAAACTGTTTTGTTATCTTCCATTTATCGATCAAAAATTTAATCTTGTATATTAATAACTTCACTTCTTTTTTTGTTTTTGTTTTTTTTAGAGGTCCGACGTACACGTCGAGCCCACTCAACCATGCCAGGAGAGGATAATCGTGGACATAGCAGAGCCAGATCTCCATCACCAAGTCGAACAATGGGAAGAGATTCGAGTTGGAGAGAAAAATTAGGAGCTGGTGAAAAACCTGCACGTGATACATTGGAAGTTGAAAAACCAAGTAAGGACAATATTTATTGTATACTGCTAATATCAAACAATACATATTCAAATATTCTTATAGAGAAACGTGAGCAACGTAAAGAAGCTCCTAAATTTATTGATCAATTATCGAGTGTTACAGTATTCGAAGGTATAGTTCGTTAAAAATAAAACTTTCACTTCTTTAAATTATATTTTTTTTAAGGTTCAACAGCTAAACTACGCTGTGAAGTCAAAGGAAAACCCACCCCTACAATTGAATGGTTGAAAAATGGCGAAGTAAGTGCACAATTTAATCAATATAACCAAATGAAGAAAATTATATTCATATTTTTATTTTTATAGTCCATTTCAAAAGATTCTCGTATCAATGAGTCTTATGATGATGATGTTGCCACGTTGATAATCAAAAAAATCAAATTAGAAGACGATGGAGAATATATCTGTCGTGCTTCAAACGATGAAGGATCTGACAATAGTAGTGCACAATTAACTGTCAAAGCTCATGTAGCTAGTGCCGATGATGAATCATACGCTGAATATATAAACAAAGAGGATGAAGTACCAACTGGAACAGCACTTACGAGTGAAGAAGCTCCAGTCTCAGCTGAACAAGTAGGTATTTTTAAAACTTAAGAAACGTATTCGGGCCTGAAAATTTTTTAAAATTTTACATGTTAGTAAAATAAGACTAAAACTCGCATGTTTTTCCGTCTTCAAATGAAAACTAGGAAAAAACATGTTATTTTGGAAATATTCTTTTTTTCCACAGACTAGTGAAGCTGCTCCAACCACTGGTTCAGAAGTTGCTGATACATCAGCGCCAGCAGAAGCCGCTGCCACAGCTTCAACGGAGTCTGTTCAACCACAAAGTGATGGCGTTGCTAGTGACACAGCAGCCAAACAAGAAGAAAAATTACCATCGGAAGCTGTTGCTGAAATCCCTGCAGGTTGGTAAATTTATATCCTTCTAGCGCATAAGCTAACGTAAACTATTCGAAAGCGTTTGTTTTTGTTCAACATAGATGCAACTATCCCGACTGAAACAGCACCTGTCGAGGCTCCAGTTGTCGCTCCTGCTGCAAAAACCAGCGCGCCTGATACCAAAACAACCACCAAGAAGGGTGCTGAGGAAAAAAAACCAGCAGCAGCTCCTGAGAAAAAGCCCTTGGGAACGGCGGCAAAGAAAACTGTTGAGCCAGCCAAGAAACCTGAACCGGAAAAGAAAGATACGAAAAAAGTTGATGAGAAAAAGCCCGAAGTAGGGAAAAAAGATACAAAAAAGGTTGAAGAAAAACCGAAAACAGACGACAAAGACACGAAAAAAGTTGAAGCAACACCGGTCGCACAACCAGTTGAAGAAACACCGGTTGCACCACCAGCTGAAGAAGAGAAAAAACCAGAGGAAGATAAGAAACCAAAAGATAAGAAAGATGAAGAAGAAAAACCAGCTGGAAAAGAAGAAAAAGTCAAATTTACAAAACATGTGAAATCACAAAATTTAATGGAGGGTGATCCTCTTCTATTGGAGTGTATTGGAGTTGGTAAAATCTGCTAATACTTCAAGATATACGTATAATTTTGTATATGACATTTGTGGAATTTTAGGTAATAACTTAAACCTTGTATGGTTACGAAATAACAAAGAAATACCGGAAAATCCAGAATTTAAACGAGAACGTGACGGTGATAATTTTAGATTAAATGTTACTGAAGTATTTCCCGAAGATAGTGGCGTATTTTCCGCTCTATTAGAAGATTCGACTAGCTCACGTGTATCATCATGTTCTGTTATAATTCAAGGTAAGATTAAGTGTACAATTTTTTGGTTCTTCAAACATTTTCTGTTTTGTATTTAAGCGAGTGATGAAGAACCACTTGATCCAAACTTTGTTCAATTCCCACAAAATTTAACTGTAGATGAAAGTGGAAAAGCAAAATTTAATTGTAAACTATCCGGTACAACACCAATGACTGGTATGAAGCTTTTACATTTCTCATCCTAGACGATAATTAATGAAATTTGTTTTCTTGTTTTCATCAGCTCAATGGAACTTTCAAGGAAAACCAATAGACGTTGATTCTAGTCGTTTTGTATTTACTGACGCAGAACCAGAATTTTCAATGGAAATTCCTATTGTGTTAGCTACAGATGAAGGACAATATCATGTTACATTATCGAATGATAAAGGCAAAATAACCGCAGCGTTTAGTTTACATGTTCTCGTTGACCAATCATGAAATTAAAACTTTTTTTTATAACAATAATACTCTTCTGTTATGTAAATATACTAGCATAATATAGGCATTGATTGTATTTTTTCATGTTTAATTTAGAATCTTTTCAAGAAAAATGCAGACTGAGTATCCAAATTAAGCATTTTGCTTGGATACCAGTATCTATTTATTTTAAAAAAAGATTGAACCACAGACTGGCGTATTTTAAATTTTGTTGTTTTACCTTTGGCTCAACCTGTGTATGTGTATGTCCGTTATTCGTGTATACTTTTTGAAACTGATCCATTCGTTTTGTTTCAATTCTCTTGTTGTATTTTATTTCTAAAGTCTCGATGTATCTTGTTTGAAATTTAGAAAAACGTTTCATTCTTTTGTTTTCTTTTCGATTCTAATTCGTGAGTCCTTGAAATTGGTATTTTAAATTTTATCCAATTTCCCTTTCTAGATACATTGGATTCTAATTTCTTTTCGATTCATCCTAGTTTAGATTTATAACATAGATTATGAAAACTACATTTCTTTCGTCTCATTTTGTTTTTCTTTTTTTTGTCTTTTCCATCTTTTTATACTCATTAATAAAATTCTGCACAAGTATAAATGTGGCTTCAGTGAAACATTTGCTTCTTGTTCTACTTAACTTTGGAAAATTCGTAAGACATAATATAGCGGAAGATTAATAGTAAGCTAGTAAGATTTATAGATAGTTTTTATTATAATAGATCCATTTATGTAGTTAGTCGTCAACTAATTCATGAGTCTTATTTTAATCCCCAAATTCCCACATGGGATCTTCACAGATCCGCGGAATCAGGTGAACATTATCAGATGTAAAGATTAGATTTAAAACGTATATATTGTCAGATTGTGCTATCTTCTGTGACAAATCGTTGGAAAACACAACCAACAACAAACCGCATTAACAGTTCGACTACGTTTCATTGCAAGTTGTTACAGTCAGTGCACAAGAGAAAATATATAAAAAAAATATCTCAGCTATTTCTGTATATTCTGTATATTTCTGTATATTCGAATTAATTCAAGTTTTAAATTAGTTTGATATTTTTAACTTAATCTAAACTGATTCGAAATTAAAGGTTAGTTTGCACCGAGTTAATGTGAGACTCTTTCTACTTTGATTCTGAGAGAAATTAATTTTTTTATGAAAAGATTAACTAAAACTAATTTCGATTTTTTTAAATTAATGTGGATTAATTTCGTGATTTTTATTTAATATTCATTCAAAACTTCAAATTTGTTCTCGGCTGACGAGGGAAGTCCACCAACTTAAAAATCGTTTGCGGGCCAAAATCCAGTAGATCATAGGTTATCGACGGTCCTGAATCCGAATATCACCATGAGACCGGCTATTAGACCTCCAGAAACCTCAAAAGATCCCCCAAACGTTTTCTAAATAAGTCATGATTGTAGCCTGCGAAATTAGGATCGAAATGAAACATCTCCTAGTTCTACACGACCTTCCTTTGCAAAGTTATAGAATTTACAGAATGAGCCCTAAATTCCTTTTTCCTTTTTCTTTCTGTAGCTCTGAGGTGACAATGCACATTTAGGGCTTATTTTGTAAATTCTATAACTTTGCAAAGAAAGGTCGTGTAGAACTGGGAGATGTTTCATTTTGATCCTAATTTCGCAGGCTACAATCATGACTTATTTAGAAAACGTTTGGGGGATCTTTTGAGGTTTCTGGAGGCCTAATAGCCGGTCTCATGGTGATATTCGGATTCAGGACCGTCGATAATCTATAATCTACTGAATTTTGGCCCGCAAACAAGTTTTAAGTTGATGGACTTCCCTCGCGAGAACATGTTGATTGACATGTCTTATAACTAACGGCTATTGACCATGACCCAATGTAATAAGACATTTGTGCTCAACTACCGTTAATATACCTTAAAAGTGATTGATGGATCAAAATGTCCTACGCATCGGAGAAAAAGAAAAAAAAACAAGACAGACAACGAAGTTGAGAGTAATAATCCTTCTCGTGTTCCCTTTTTTGCTTTTCCAAGGAAAACAAAACATGATATCTGTTTGATCTCATGAAATCAATGCACTTTTCGACACCATTCTCTTTTCAACTAGAAAAAAATACACTTTCCCATCATTTTCATTCCCTTTCCTCATAACAAAAACAGTGTTATTATACTTCCACTGATATATTCCGTTCACCGCGAACTACACAAACAGTCCACAACGAGAAGAGTTTTACGTCAACTGAATAAATGCCTGTAAACTGGAAGTATGTACGTTTCTTCCCTATGACATCGTTCTTCCAACAAAGCAAGACAGCAGAGGCTAACAGTCATGAACACTGCAATACTACATTCATCTCACTTATAATATACCACAACGACAACACATGAACTCTAAGATTAAAGCGACAATCTCATCCTCCTCGTCCACTTCCCACAAATATTGGTTGAGCAACGAACAGCATGACGCAAAGTCAACACCTCCTCCATCAGCAGTAACAAAAATATCCAGAACATCACTAGCTTCAATGAAAATCAACTTAATCTATTTATTATGAGAAAACCGTATCCATTTGCTTAACGGGCACCGGCTTACTTTTTATAATATGGTACAAAAATGTGTTAAAATCCACATGAATATACAAATATTGGCGTATCTTGATCTTTGTGAGAAAGTGGATTTAAAGGATCATAGTTGCGCCAAGTATTATTGATAGAAAGTAGATAAAATTTGTGTATCAAAGTTCACTAGATACTTTACGCACTGGTCTGTCTCAGACTATCAGAAAATGATTTTTTAATCACATCCATGTAAAAGCAAAAACAATAGTCTATGAAGTACAAAAAATAATAAAAATCATCTACTCCTCTACTCTAATTTACACTGATGTTCGAAAGCTCCAGACAAAAAAAACAATTGTATATGGAAATAGCGACCATCCTCTATGAAAGTTAAAAGCAATTCACTAAACTACTAATGAAAAGTATTGCAGATGGTCTAGTAACAACTTCAGAGGTAAAAATAGTTGCGCAACTCTAGCAAAATATTCAGGACTAAGTTTTAGTTGTGCGACTCTTTTTTCCCTACAGTAGATGAGTAATAGCACGATAGTTCTTAAAATTAAGTTTCGCGAAATGTTTTAGCTCCGGATGAACAAAATCTAATGTAACCAAAAGATGCTATCATAAGCCACGAAGCATTTTTCTAGTGTCATGTGCAACCTTAGTGAGGTAACCTGCTATCAAAAAATCTATTATTGATATACCAAAGAATTTACAACCGCGCGTTTAGGATCACTTCCTTAAAAGGAAATTTTAAAAACATAATTCAGATGAATTTTTTTCGGCTGTCCCGTTTGTTCTTCTTGTGCCAATTCGAACCTCTTATTGAGGATGTTCAGTTATTAGTCATATGTTTTCGACAGGGGGATCTCACTGGAGAATAGTGATTGTGATTAAAATATACAAATATACAAGAGAATCGTCAAATATCTCTTCCTTCTTTTCTCAATTTATTTCGTGTATTTGAACATAGATCACGAAACGAATTTAGACGGACCTTTTCATAATAACGTGAAAAACTTTCAGATTTAATTTTAAATTGACGAATTATGGCATCTAGGAAGAAAAAAACAGTAAAAATTAATGCACATAAACTTTGTCGTCATCCATTTCCAAGTTTTGGAAACGTGATGACAGGTAATGTTTTATGTACTTGCAGTTATTATTAAAACTTGCGTCTCAGACAAACACTTTTCAAAACATTCACGTTTTGTGTATCTAGCATTTCACGATTCGTCGTGTTTTTCTTTTTTATTTGAGGCATAATTTATGTGGCTAATTCTTCATCAGTGAAAAGCTTTCGCATAACCTCACGACCGTATTCAGCAGGCGTGTTACCACGCACCTTTGACAAATTTATATCGCCAGAAACTGATGTATAAATCTAAATAAAAAAATTTTTAATAAAAACAAAGCGTAAAAGATAACTTTTCCCATACATATGGATATGGATAAACAGTAATATTATCCACTTCAAGTTCTTTAGTTGTACTACTTGTATTGGCCTAAATATGTAAAAAATAGAATTTTATAGGGTGCCCGTCCTGTAAGACATGAAAATAAAAGTTTGTCAAAAAAAATTACATACTAATTCTTTGGTATGTTTTTTTATCGAAATAATTCTTTTCCAAATGATACAAATTGAGCAGAAGTTGAACTAGCTAATTTATCTAAACTATTTTGCGTTCCTGAATGATAAGAAGAAGAATTAGAGCTGCTTGTATTGGGGTTTTCACTCGAAGATGATGATGAAAAATCGTTGTTCATTCCTCGTTTATGCTGCTTTTGTCATTGTTGATATGTATTTTGTCTTTTTTTGACAGTACTTCGATTTGAATCATCACGTGCAAAATACGTGGTGTGACCACCTTCATCGTCATCATCAGCATGTTCACCAGCGTTACCAGTGACCGTGACAATGCTGCCATGATGTCTTTTTGCGTGCCGTAACTGCTACTGAAACAGAGCAATAAAACAGCGAAAAAAATATTATGCATTGAAAAAGATTTTTCGAGCTGACTCTATAGAGTCAGGCTACCCACTGAAAAAAAATTTACGAATTCCTGCGTTGACACGCAGGAATCTGAAAAAATCCTGTGAATATTGGATATATACTGCAAGCTTTTACATCACGTTACCTCACCGAAAATTTTACTGCAAGTTGGTGAGTATAATTGAGCAGGATTCTTTAACACGCTCACTTTTCAAGTTTCTTTTCTGCAGGATCCTGGAGGATTCTTCTCTAGGCACACCATGCAGGAACTTTTACATACGTTCATGCGGTATATCTCGCAGATGCTTCACTTTGCACAGCCTGCGGAATTTTTTCCTTCCTGTTATCACTTGTAATACACAAGATATCTCAATACGCAAACCTTGCAAGGTTTGTAGGATTTTTTCATGATGATAAAAACTTGTAGCTTGTGGATTTTGTCCGCCATGTCTATCTTGCGGCATTCTGCAATCTTTTCTCATCAATGTCTGTGCAGGGTGAACTTGTTTGTATTTTTTATTTTTGGCAAGTTAAGTACTTCTGCATCTTTTCTTGTAAAGTCATACAAGCTTTTCTCGTGTCGAATAAACTTCCGGAAATGTATACCTTAATATTTCAAGGTGGTTTAACATTGAAGAAAACAAAGAACTTCGTGTGTATATCACCAGAAGAACATGTTAAGGTTAAAAAAACAGTAAAAGCCCAAGCGTATGTTTAAACGCTACTATCTATAAATATAACATAATCCATAATGAGAAAGCTAAGCAGTGAGTGTATAGTCATTCGGCATTCAACGGATTGACACCTTCTCCCCAGGAACCTGTTAGGTGCCTATTATCGATCGGATCCAATGCCGCCATATAATCCTCTAATAAAGGAAAATTAAAAACGTCTGCACTGCTCTAAATTCTATGTGGTTTACAGCTTTTTGGAAGAGGTATAAAACATACAAAAAATATCAAACTATTAGAGTACAGAAATGTTGTAGAGCCAGTCACAAAGCTAGTGCTGCTCACCTTTCTGTAAGCTCCATCTAACGAGCACCTGAGCTTCATTAACTCCCTTGCCGTTTGCGATGTGGATGACTGTTTCGTTCTTTAGTAGCTACCCTCGTGTCAGAGGACTATAGGTCTGTACAACAATGTCATTCGAAAAACAGTATTCTACGCTCGCCCTCTGTTGAAGAAAAGGATGGAGTTCCAGTTGATTGATGGCAGGCCATATCTTGGCGAAATAGCTTTTAACTTTTCGAAATATTTTGCTGCCCAGTTTGACACACCAGTCGATCGAGTCCATTCTTTATCAACGCAATCTTCGAGAGTCTTCCAGCTGGCAAACCGACTTTCTTTACCAGGCAGAGCAGAGTGAAGCAAAATGAGATCGAAGTATTTTAATCCGCTCTTCTTAGGCTCGGGACCTAGAGAGGTTTTCCGGAGACCATGTTATCTCGGTCCGGACAAGTCAGAGAATCCCAGAAAGACTCAAAACATAGATAATCGAGTTTGCTGAACATCGTGGCAATGTTTGTTTTCTCGTAAAAGTTGAACAAAAGCCGCGGGAGTTGTCTTCCTGAAAAGCAGAAGTTTTGCCTGCCGACAGCAAAACTTCGATTGAACATATCTCACTCATTTCAAGTCAGAAACCAATCGAATTGTCGACATACAGTCAAAATAAGCTAGAAAATATAAATTAGGGATAAAACTTTATAAACTATAAGTTTTTCACGTTGAGGTTTTTCAGGAGATCTCTAGAAACCTTCTGATATTCAATGCGCTTGATTCCAAAGTTTTGGCATGTCAGTGGCAACTGTGACCATTGGTGAGCTCCCACTGGACATTTAACCGATTTCTGACTTGAAATGAGTGAGATATGTTCAATCGAAGTTTTGCTGTCGGCAGGCAAAACTTCGGCTTTTCAGGAAGACAACTCCCGCGGCTTTTGTTCAACTTTTACGAGAAAACAAACATTGCCACGATGTTCAGCAAACTCGATTATCTATGTTTCGAGTCTTTCTGGGATTCCCGGACTTGTCCGGACCGAGATAGCATGGTCTCCGGAAAACCTATCTAACTTCCGAGCTAACTTCAGTGGTGAGCAACCTTCTGGAAAATGTCTAGGCGTGGTATGCCACCTGAAAATGTTGCTTTTTCCATTCTTTTTGCATAGGTTCAAAGCCCCATCAATCTACTTTCAGAAACTGAAAACCGCAGATCTCTAACTATCACCGGTCAATAGTTATTCAAAAAACAACCGGATGCATTATATTTTGAAATGAATGGCACTTTCAATTTCATTTAAAATCGCGTCCCGGGCCTTTTTTACCTTGTCTTGATTTTTTCCACCTTTCTCTGCCTACTGTAGATAATTAGCTCTTAAATAGTACATGATTCGCAGCATGCAAGTGCATCCGTTGATATATTGGTGCGTTATAGTTATGAAGTGGTGATTGCTAGTCAGTGCCGTGCGAACCTATCGTCAGATTTATTGTAGCTACTAGGGTTCACGAGAAGGAACAAAAACAAGTTTGTCCGTAAACTTTTTTCTGAAGAATTTTCTGAGGAATTGTACGTTCTGAAAATGGCACAGTCTACTGCTTCTTACAAGTGCTCATCCGTGTTGTCGAAAAGAAAAACTACATTATAAGTTGTACACATTCACATATTTCGGTTCTGCGAAAACAGAATGTTATTGTTTACATGTTACCATGTAAAAACGGAGAAAGGAAGGAATGAAGAGAAAAGTTGGGAGTTTGCAAAAACACGAGCAAAAGTGGAGCAAAGTGATAGCTACTAACTCCAGACCAATTTCAGCTTCTATGCGGCTTTCAGTAGCCCGACCGGACTCGTCGACTGATCGTTCAGTATGTCCCATTACACTGGAGCCAATTCGCGATCCTGTCACAGCCAAAGATGGCCATACATACGAACGCGAGGCAATTGTAAAATGGGCTTTACAGTCAAATGGAACAAGCCTCATGACCCGACAACCTCTCGGTGTTAGGCGACTGCTACTTGACTCGACTATCCAATATTCAGGAGCTGCTCCGATGCCTTTTGTGAGATCAAATCATGTTGCATCCCTTTATCCAACCAATTCATCTGATGTGCCTACTACACTAATGCATGGACCAAAATGCTACAAGAGCGGTTTTTGTCAAGGGTATCGTACTTGGCCTCATGGCAATTGAATTTGCAGTTGGACTTGTAAGTGTACTCACACGAAAGGACTCCTCAGTTCAAGACCAATGTTCGATCGCAAATGAGACAACTCTACTCTATCTCACATCAAATTATTACAGTAATTTCGCGTAGTGTTGATAATTCTCAAATGACTCTTTCAACTTCTTCTATAGCTTCTAATGTTTCTGGGGCTTCTACAGTAAAGCGAAAAGTGCCAAGTTAACTGCCGGTTAATTGTGAGTTGACAGGCAGTTTACTGGCTGTTTTTAGACCGTTTAGACAGTTTTTAGGTGGTTTTTTGATAGTTTGGATGGTATGGTTTTATCACTACCTAAAAACTGCCAGTAAACCGCGTTCTTATATGTCAAATTTTCACAAGCAGCTTGACCGTCAAAAGACGGTTTACTGGCTGTAAATAGTCAGTCTGCACTACCAGTTTAGGGCGGTAAAACGGTCTACATAAAATAGACGATTTTTAGGACTTTTTTAGACCGTTAACTGTCAGTAAATGGTTAAAAATGGACGATAAACCGTCAACAGAAAAGAAAGAAAAAAAGAGTAATAACGTCAGATGTAGGGACTTACAGACTACTGTTACACTCACTGCTGAGCTAAACTCGACTGTTAGTATTTCTGTAAATCCGACAATTACAGAGAAAAAATGGAAAAGAAATTTGAATAAATCTTTTAAAATATACTAAATGCATCAATTTCGAATAAGTATTTTTGGACCTAATCTACATTAATAAAATCAACTTTTCGAGTTATCTGTCCGTACTGTTTCCAAGGAAAGACATTGACATTGAGTCAGTTTTTCATATATAGCAAACTGATAAAGGCGTTTACCTTGATGTCTAATGTTCAAAACTTCGAAGAAATTAAAATTCAACTGCGCCGTTTAACCACCTCCAGTTTAACCATTGTACAGTTTATTTACAGCCACTTAACTGTTTTTTTTTCAAGAACATAGCAAACTCATGGCTATCGGCTTGTCCAAACGTAACGGCGTTACGTTTTGGACGCACTAAAATCAAATTATCTCGGAAACTAAAATAGTTAAAAAGCTCATTTAAACACCATTCGAAGCAGCTCGTCGACCCCCATTTACGGTATAAAAATGAAATTTTTTGGATGAAGTCTCGACTTTTGAGAACGGTTTTTGTAGGCCGTAACGGCGTTACGAAAAAAGACCCTTTTTTTCGAGTGCTATCAACAAAAACGTGAATTCGGACAAAGGTAAAGGTTATAATGAAAAGTTTTTAGCACAAAAATTGTAGAGCACAGAACGGGCTATCCGATGATAAGAAAAAGAATGTTCTCAACATCTTCAGTTAAGGCAAAAACATCAAAATATAAACGTAACGGTGTTACGCACTATTTTTGTCGAGTGTTTTTAAGGGGCCTAATATGATCAGAAGATTTTGATATTTATATATATAATTTTCGTGCTACAGTCAGCCGATATACGCAAGAATAAAGTCGCTACCTCGGGTTGGAGGGTTAAAAACTGTAAATTAAGTCGGCAAATGTACAAATATGTACAAATTTTCTAAAGCGCTGAAGCTCAAAACCAAATACGCCATTTTGTAGAGAATTAAATTTTCTACGAAACCATATGTTTAGAAATTTATTTTTCGAAAACTTTCTCGACTAAAAATAGAAAATCCGATTTTTGAAATGTTCAAAAACCAATTTTTATCGAAAAAGCGTTTTAAACGGGTTCTTAGAATTAAAAATTACATCTAGTGATGTATTCAAAATTTTCGAAAGCGAAAATTTTTTTTTTATAAACTTGATCAGCGAAGTGTCGCGTTACGTGGACAAGCCGCTATACACTATTATAGAAAAGAAATATGACTGAAGACTATTAGTTTACAACTCGTTAACTGTCTGCAAACCATCTAAAAATTGCCTGATTTATTGACCGTTTTTAGGTCTTAAAAAGTGTAAAAACGGCCAGTAATCGGTAAAGCCAAAACACAGCCACTTAACTGTCTGTAAATGGGCCGTTAACCACACAGTTAACTGACTGTTTTTGGGCTTTTCCGTTTACTTGCAGTTATCAGACGGTATTTTTGCAGACCTAAAAACCGCCGATAAACAAGACAGTTTTTAAGTGGTTTTTATATGATTAACAGGTTGTCAACTGGCAGTTTTTAGGTAGCCTGTATAAACTGACAGTTAACGCGCAGTTTATCGCCCGCCTTTTTTCTCCTAGGTAGTAGTCTGAATAATACTGGCAGTGTTTATGAGGATAAGGGCGAGTATGCTCTTACTGTAGGGTGTTTTGCAAGATGCTTGAAGATTCGTGAAAAGCTGCTTGCATCAGCACATCCTGACCATGTGAGGGTTGAAAAGAGGCTGTTGGAAGTAAAGAAGTTTATGTAAAAGATAGTTGTTCCGGGCAGGTAGTTATAAATGCATCTGACGGTTGAGCATTTGTTTGGTTGTTTATGGATTAAGTTTTTTTGTTTTTTCCTCTACACTTTTTTAGATTTGTTTATTTTTACTGCGAAGAAACGTCAAGCTTCGCTTTTTCCCTGTAGTCATTTGTATATAATAGGTTTTCTGTTTGTTTTACCAAGGAGCATTGAATTCTACTCAAGTGTTTGGTTTTCAATGTTTGCTTCGAATTTGGGATTGTACAAAGGACCCCGCCGTTTAAGAAAAACAACTCCGTTTGAGCTTATATTCTACAGTTTTGTAGAAGAATGGAAGGCGAATTTTTCTGTCGTCTCAGAATTTTTTCAGACCCTTCCTTATTAACAAACCTAGGCTAACAACTTTTCTCAGCTGATATACTACCAGTCTAAA